TTTAAAAAGTGATTGTCCAAATATCGACCTACAACCCTCCTTGGACATTGGAAACCTGTTCAAGAGGAATGGTATAAAATAACTCTAAAATCTAAAGAAAGTTTTTCGAAGAGATTTGTCTGCTGCTGGTTTTTCAGCAAATTAAAAAGTGGAGTAAAATGTTAAAATCAATTAAACTTATTATTAGGTACATATCTCATATACAGTTATCTCATATACAGACACTACAAAGGGCTCTATTGCTTTTGAAATTATGATGTGGAAAGATAGTGAAGAATAAGGATTATCAAAGAGAACATTTAAACACAAAAATTTCAGGCAAAATATTTCTGTAAAAACAAGGAAAATCACCTAAAAATGTGCATACAGCCTCTGTACTGTACTTTTAGTTAACAGGCAAAATAAATTTTCACATATTTTAAGTACAGTCAAAAGTCGTCAATTCGGACACCCATAATGCGGAATGATCTATAATCCGGACCTCAAAGCTACAATCTTGCGTGTGCGCATGCACATAATACATTTACGATTTCGCGTTTAATGTGTAACAGATGGTATAAGCTAAGCTAAAATTATCTAATTCAGTTAATGTTGCAGATTGCATTGTTTCTGAATCTTCGAATTGGATCCGGCTTATTATTTTTTGCAGACTGTTAGAGCAATTTTATAAAAGTAAGCTTGAACTTTTGATTATGTCAAATAGAATTTCCGATATATATTTACTAATATGTAAAAGATCTACAAAGCGAAAGTATGTTAAGAAGTCCATTAAACAAAAAATGGAATTGCTGCAAAAAATGGATGAAGGCATATCCTTCGCTTCTCAAACCATTCCGAAATCTGTTTATCAATTTCACGCTGCTCTGCGGGGGGGTAAACGATGAGGCGCGCAATAAACTGGAAGTTGATCTGTCAGCACTATCCTTATCTTCAGAGCAGATGTTTTTATTTTATTCGGCTTATAATTCCTTACTAAATGTTGTATTTCATCGCGATCTACTCTGTCTTTGATACCAAATTTACCAAATGTTATGCTAATCTTCAGTTTCACAGTTAGCAAAACACAGCTTGGGGAAAACTGTAATACGATCTGCAATTTGGGATGTTAAAACTTTGAAAACTGAAGTGTTTTGTTTTAAATTTAACCTTAATTGCAACACTTTTATATAATACAAAAATATTTTTTTAAAGTATTTAGTTCTGTAGTTCTTTTTTACATTGCACATTTTTATATGGTAATATTAATTTATTATTCTTTACATAAATGCAACTTACAATATTTATATCAATATGCTATCATACGTTTATTGCCTCGAGTATATGTTATTGCTTTTTAATGGATTCATACTGTAGTGCAGCAAATGCTTAAAAGCATATTTTCATTTTTAAAAATCATATAAAATCTGTTCGATTATTTATTTGCCATTATGATTATTTTAAAACAACTTAGAATAACCAGTCAGGGAAAAACATAAGTACTGTTTAATAAAAATGATGTTTAAGATCTTTTTATAAATTTATTGGTACAGAGAACCAACTTCTGCCTCTCCTATCACGAATCAGGTAGGTGGTTATGAAATAAATAGAATCATTGAAAACACTTGTTTTTTGCAGTGGCATAGCTGCAGGAGAAAGGCAAGGAGACTTTTGTCTCTGAGTGCAGCAGCTAGAGGATGCCAAACTGACATCATGAAATTCCACGATGAAAAGTTTTTCATTCTTGGCAAAAAAGAGGTAACGTGAAATCTTCAATGTCCCTGGGCACTGAAAACCCTTGCAACAGTTTATGTTTTTTTTTTTAACTGATGCCGGCACAGATCATCATTTATATGAAGCAATATTTAAGTATCTCTGCGATACTGTAAGCTTGCCACAACCATGTAATTTTTTTTTTTTAAATGTTAATCTGAAAGCTTTCAGATTTTATATTACATCCCAAAGGGGCATTTATTTAATGTTTTGTGTGTTACTTTTATTTATTAAATATAATGTTCTTTCTACTTAAACTGTACAATTCAATTCAACAGCAATATCAAAAAATATTTAAAAAGAGCACATCTTTAGAATTTCTAATGCACAGTCTCACACGCTAGAAATGAAAATATTTTTTTCCCATACAGCACTGCTATTGCTCGCTTTGAAATTCTTGAGTTTGTTAATAAAAAAATTGATTAAAGTTTTACAAAATATGAAACAAATAATGTAAAAAAAACTTCAAATTTAGCTTCCAGATGCCCGTATTTCAGTGGAGGACTACATTATTTCAAATCTGATGTCATTAGGTGCTTTTTTTTTTTTTTTTTTTTTTCCCCTCTCAATGCAAGAAACATACATACATACATGCAGTTTCTTCATTATTTAATTTTTTGGTACTATTTGGTTTTGAGGTTGCAAAAAAGTTGCAGCGGAAATGTATGCGCAAACACGCCCATTTAACAGCGCGCCAAATCTAGCGTACATGCTGATTTCAGATTGCATAAGTTTATAAACTTATGCAATCTATAGAAATATAGTCTTTAGAAATATAGAACTATATATAGTTCTATATTTCTAAAGACGCCATTGAAATACTAGTTTAATTTTTAAATCATTTTTCGATTTTAAATCCTTTTTTGATATCCTATGGATTTAACAATTTGGGAATTGCCCATGACGAAAAGCCGGCAATAGAATTTTGGGTAAAGTGCAGATTCACCCACTGCTCGACGCATTTTAAGAATTCCACATACTCGGTATCCATGTACACATCGACCTATTTTCACTTAAAAAAAAATCCCAGAATTGCACAAAAATGGCACTGCGCACACCCTTGACTTTATCTGTGTACACATCGACCTATTTTTACTTCAAAAATAAAAGATAATTGACAAAAATTCAATTGTTTTTACCCTTGTAAAAAGCGGCAAACAAATAAGTGAGCAATTCTGCACTTTACCGAGAATATTTTCAAAGAAAAGGTATCATTCATCATAGAAAATTATGTTTGAACAACCAACGAGATGAAATTATGCTTTAGTGATAAGTCGGTAGCGAAATAGTGATGCAGGCATCCATTCAGTTATGTTTAGCAATTTTTATATAAATTATAATAATGATCTGAAATAGTTATTTACTCTTATGCTTCCATTCAGTCATGTTTAGCCTTTTTCATATAAATTATAATAATAAAAAGTGTTATATAAAATTAACCTTTCATCTAAATTAAAACATTAATCTTAGATAATTATTTACTATTGTACTTCCTTTCTTGCCGCAATTATTTTTGCCAGCATTGGCATCAACAATAGTTTGGCAATTTTTTACGGCCCTTGAAACCGAATAGTACCAATTTTTTTAAATGTTCTTTAATGCAGGGTTCTAATATCTGGTGGCAACAATTTGAAAAGTGAAACACCATTTTATAGTGGACGACCCAAAATACCATAATGAAATTAATTGCCCTTCTGGGCAAATTGTCCCTTTGGGTTAAAACTTTGTACTTACGTATTATTGAATAAACCTTAGTAAAGCTGCCAAATTTTTAGAAGTTACCAAACTCTGGCAACCATGCACATAACAATTCTTTAGATAACCATACCTATTATACATTGCAATCTCAAAGGTCACTCAATCACTTTTGGTACTACTCTTATATGCGCCCTCAGGTTGGCAAATGTTTTTGTGCTGGTTTTTGGCGCGATTGTGTGTTCTGTGATGGTTTTGGGGACAATGTTGTTTGTATGATAACCCTTTTGATGTTCAAACTTACTCTTTGACGGTAGTGGTTTTATTTGCTCATTGGTTCATGTTGTGCATATTTTTGAAATGGAATGTTGTAATAAGAAATGGCGGGAAAATTTCAGTCATGTATTTTAGATTGTGTGCAAAGTAAATTTAGTATTAAAAGGTACTATGTTGGAGTTGTTAACAAGTCTTTTGTTCACGGGTGTGTTTATGCGAAGTGCATTTTTGTAATTTCTGTGGGAGTCAGGACTTCTGAAGCGGTGTTATGCGTGTTCGAAATGCAGAACTGATATGAGAAGTCGTAAGAAGAAGGGCGTTTTTGATAGAATTGTGCGAGTTTGCAGACAAATGGTTGCTGGAAAAGTATGTGGCTGTCAGCGGAGTTTAAGATTTGGATCGTGGTTTTCATATAATTAGGTAACTTTGGAGAAAGTTTTTATCATTACTTTCGAAATTTTGAATCTCAGAAAGACATGTGATATATCAAAATCGTGGCACTTTTGTTCAGAGACATTGTGTGACTGGCAAATTTTTATTCAGGAATGTATTATGGTAAGCACATTTTATTTTACTGTTTTTATTTTGTAGAATGTTATATTCATTGTTTTTTTACTATGAATTTCTGTCATTTTTGTTGTTTTTTTTTAACTGTTTGGAATTTAGTTTAGTTATTTTAGTTTATTTTGTTGATTAGTGCGCAATGCTTAGATTGTGTATTTTTTTTAAAGTTTAAACAGAGCACTGTGTACATGGTATTCTTCAAAATTTATTGTTGTAATATTAATTTATTTAAGCTAGGTGTGCGCAGTTAGTATATTCCTTCGCTGCATAGATTGTGCAATTGTGATTTTTTTATTAGTTAAAACATATCGCTGTGTAGATGGATTCTTGTCAAATATTTTTGGTTAGAAACTTTATGTTTTTTGCTATCTAAATTTTTTGCTTTTGTTTCGGATTTTTAGTTTAAATTGTGTGTTCAAAACATGGTTTTTGTAGTTTTAAAAAAACGCAGATGTGAAACCCGCGTTTTTGGAGACATTTCAGGCATTAAGTTCGAAATGTAGACAAAAAATTTGGATAGTAATATGGCACCATGGAGTTTCTTGCTAAAAATATTTGGCAAGAAATTTGTTGCCAAGCGAGGTCGTACATAAAAGTACATTCTCACTTTTTTCTTGTCTAAAAAATCTACAAAGTGCACTAAGGTAGTTGCACTAATATAAGTACCAAGAAATGTAGTCTAAGATATATTAAACAGTAAATATGCAGATACTTACCTTTGTTTCCAACTGCAGTTGGTAAATCGGAAGTTTCTGTTAATGATATATCCATTTCTCTAATTTCACAACTCAAAAATTAATCACCATTAATTTTTTGCTTGGTTTCCTGTATTTCATAAAGGAAATTAAAAGAAATTTCAGACAATATAAAAAGCACATACTCTTCATATCAAATTGGTCCAAAAATATTCAAATAATAATAATTTTAGAAAAAAATTTTACCATTAAAAAAGTTACCAGGTAAAATCCTAGGAGAGCCCACAACATTGGCGACAAACTGGGAAAGTGCAGAATCACCCACTGCTTCTCACGTTTCTCAAAATTGCCAACTTGAAAATAATAAGTAAAAAAATTGCTAACTCGGTATCCATGTACACATCTATCTATTTTCACTTAAAAAAATAGTCCTGGATTGCACAAACTTGGCATTGCAAACTCCCTTGACTTTGTCCATGCACACATTGATAGGCGCCATATAAGTGGGGGCAGCAAGGGTATGGGCTCTGCTAGAATCCAATCAAGTTACCATTCTTTTATTAAAAAAAAAACTAACGTGGCTGTAGTCATTATCTTATTACATAAAGAAATTTAATAACTTAAGCATTTATTTAATGCCTTACAAAATTTATTTAAATGCAGAAATAACAAAATACCACATTTATAATAAAATGTGTAACTTATGATTACAGAAAATACATATATATTGCATTTTTAAATTATAAAAACTAATAGCTTCCACTAAATAAGATTATAATACAATAACTAAATCGGCTAAATAATTTTATTAAAGTTTTACAGAATGAAATTATACAATACATAAATAAAATGGTAATTTTCCGAATCCATAATCGAATCTATAAAGACCGGCACAGAAATTTTAAAAAGTAAGAATCAGAATCAAATATAAACTCAGCAATTAATTCATAAAGTTATTAACTAACGAACTTTTTTGTTTACCGTTTAAATTATTTTAAATGTAGGATGGAGAAAAACTGAATGTGAAAAACATGCTTTGCTAAAGCTAATCCATTAATTGAAATCGAAAAATTTTTAACTAATACAGACGTTTATAAACGAATTTATGTTACAAAAATAATGGTCAAGGAACTGAGTACTACGAAAGCACACTTCAAATTAAAATTATTAGTTAAAAATTTCTATAAAAACCGACAAAACTACACTTGCGCTAAAGTGATTACTGCAGGCCGTGTTTATTATGACGATATAAAACCTGGACCTCCACCAAGGCACTTCCCAAGGCCGAGTTTAAGTTGGCCTTGCACTTCCTCATTTTCCATCTGGCAATAACCGACAGATGGCTCTGCAAACTTCTTCGTCAGAATTATATATTTCAGAAGTTGACCCATCCAGAAGTTGAGCATTTATGCATTCAGAAGATGACCATTAAAAGAAAAGGCTTATATCTAGACTCTGTCTTTACAGAAGTGAAAGGAAATTCATTTGAAGTTTTGAGTTACTATTATATATGCTTATGAATCAGTTTCCCAGAAATATGATGATATGCAGACAATTTCGGGAAATACTATTTCATTTTTCAAAATTAAATATTTATGGATAAAATTTAAATAAGAATTTTATATTTCCCATCTCCCATAAATGTCAGATGTATTCGTAAAAAATGTAATTTTCAAAATAGAAACTAAAGCGTTTCATAAAATGTTCCGAAAAAAAAGTAATTAGTTTAACTGTCGCTGTAATGACTGTTGTGAAAACTGTCAAATGTCAAAAGTTGTCTAAGCTTGTCTCCTTTTTTTTTTTTTTTTTTTTTGTTGTTGTTGCTGTTTTTTCCCCTTAAGTGTTCTCTTAATGTCTGAGTATTTCTGCTCAATCCAGTCGCCCTTTTTTTTTTTTTTTTTTAAATGGCCAGTGAAAACTAATAAATATGAGTAATGCACTGACTGTTAAACACGTTAACGAAACAATCATATTGCATGATAGCGGAAAAATATTACCTTAGTTTAAGAATCTCCAAAATTATAACATACAGTGTGCATGAATTTTTTTATATTTTCGTGATGTTCTTTCTAAACTGCTCGTTCGCTGCATGTGATATTTGCAAAAATTCTTGGCTTCATTTACAGCCCCTGAAAATACCACTAAAGGAAAGTTTTGTAGAACATTTAAATTCAGCCGTATTTAATTTATGACTCCATGAAAGTATTTGTGTTAAAGAAAAATGGAGATTAGTTCAGTCTCTACCGAAATTTTCTGTAAAACCTAAGATGGGAAAGTGCAATCCTGTAACGAGAATAATACCAGCATCATTTGCATGGATTGTATTATTGTTTTCAACTGGAATATTTTTTGCTTTTCCGTAAGTACGTCACTGAAATTGAAGTAAAAATTTTTCTCATTGTTTTGAAATATATGGCTGAATACAGGTTGACGAATAAGTTCTTTTAATCATCCTTTTTGACATTAATATTATAAATAATAAAATTATTTATTTGCCATTTTGAAACCTTTGAAAACTACTTACATTTTTTTTTTTTTCCCATGCTACTAATTTATTCTATTCTGATTAATATACTGTATTAAATAGTCTTATTTTTTAGTGTCATGTGATAGAATTGAAAAGTATAGATAATAAACTAAATATTTAGCAGTGAAAATGGGTTATTCATGAAGTTATGTATTTAGAGGAGCATTCTGTAAAATGTTCTGCAAAAATATCAAAGCATTGATTCTTTTCCTCATATCTCATTCGTAGATGCTGAAATGTTTTCACAGTAAAGATGTCTTTTTTTTATTATTATTTATTTATATATATATATATATATATGCTATTTTTTATTTTTAAAGTTAATTACTAAAATTATAGTTTTTTCCTTTTGTGATGCTTGTTGCATTTGAGTTCACACCTAAATTTTTAATTTGGAAATCTTAAACTCCGCTGACAGCCACATACTTTTCCAGCAACCATTTGCCTGTAAACTCGTACAATTCTATCAGAAACGCCCTTCTTCCTACGACTTCTCATATCAACTCCGCATTTCCAACACGCATAACTCCGCTTCAGAAGTCCTGACTCCCACAGAAATTTCAAAAATACAATTCGCATAAACACACCCGTGAACAAAAACTTGTTAACAACTCCAACATCATACCTTTTAATACTAAATTTACTTTGCACACAATCTAAAATACGCGACTGAAATTTTCCCGTCATGTCTTATTACAACATTCCATTTAAAAAATACGCACGACAGGAACCAATGAGCAAATAAAACTACTCCGTGAAAGAGTAAGTTTTAACATCAAAAGGGTTATCATACAAACAACATCGTCCCCAAAACCATCACAGAACACGCAATCGCGCCAAAAACCAGCACAAAACACATTTGCCGATCTGAGGGCGCATATAAGAGTAGTACCAAAAGTGATTCAGTGACCTTTCAGATTGCAATGTATAATAGGTATGGTTATCTAAAGAATTGTTATGTGCATGGATGCCAGAGTTTGGTAACTTCTAAAAATTTGGCAGCTTTACTAAAGTTTATTCAATAATAAGTAAGTACGAAGTTTTAACCCAAAGGTAAATTTGCCCAGAAGGGCCATTAATTTCGTTTTGGTATTTTGGGTCGTCCACTATAAAATGGTATTTCACTTTTCAAATTGTTGCCACCAGATATTAGACTCCTGCATTAAAGAAATTAAATAATGAAGAAACTGCATTTATGTATGTATGTTTCTCGCATTGAGAAAAAGAACAGCAGCTAATGACATCAGATTTTAAATAATGTAGTCCTCCACTGAAATATGGGCATCTGGAAGCCAAACTTGAAGTTTTTTTCATTATTTATTTCATATTTTGTAAAACTTTAATGAATTCTTTATTAACAAACTCATTTAACAAACTCAACAATTTCAAAGCGAGCAATGGCAGTACTGTATGGGGGAAAAAAACGTTTTCATTTCTAGCGTGCAAGACTGTGCATTAGAAATTCTAAAGATATGCTCTTTTTAAATATTTTTTGATATTGCTGTTGAATTGAATTGTACGGTTTAAGTAGAAAGAACATTATATTTAATAAATAAAAGTAACACACAAAACATTAAATAAATGCCCCTTTGGGATGTAATATAAAATCTGAAAGCTTTCAGATTAATATTTAAAAAAAAAAAAAATTACATGGTTGTGGCAAGCTTACAGTATTGTAGAGATACTTAAATATTGCTTCATATAAATGATGATCTGTGCCGGTATCAGTTAAAAAAAAAACATAAACTGTTGCAAGGGTTTTCAGTGCCCAGGGACATTGAAGATTTCACATTACCTCTTTTTTGCCAAGAATGAAAAACTTTTCATCGTGGAATTTCATGATGTCAGTTTGGCCTCCTCTAGCTGCTGCACTCAGAGACAAAAGTCTCCTTGCCTTTCCCCTGCAGCTATGCCACTGCAAAAAACAAGTGTTTTCAATGATTCTATTTATTTCATAACCACCTACCTGATTCATGATAGGAGAGGCAGAAGTTGGTTCTCTGTACCAATAAATTTATAAAAAGATCTTAAACATCGTTTTTATTAAACAGTACTTATGTTTTTCGCTGACTGGTTATTCTAAGTTGTTTTGAAATAATCATAATGGCAAATAAATAATCGAACAGATTTTATATGATTTTTAAAAATGAAAATATGCTTTTTAACATTTGCTGCACTGCAGCAGGAATCCATTAAAAAGCAATAGCATATACAGTCAAAAGTCTTTAATCCGGACTCGTCGGGACTTTGGTGATTCCGAATTATCGATTTTTCCGGATTATAGATCATCAGTTTAAATCTGGTAAGATGGCATGCAGAAATTATAAAATTAAAAATATGAAACCGTAATTTATAAAATAATGAGCAATTATGATCTAAAGGGTATCAAAATTTACAAAAAAAAAGCTTAATATTATTTGTTTTTACTTTATTAAACATTTCTTTCAACGCGCGCATGCTTAAAGGATACATTATGCATAGCCGAAATTAGAAAATTGCAACCAGAAAACTATTTGATTTGTATTCGTGATATTTATAATGACGAGGAATTTGATTTAAATCATATCAAAGACGAAGTACATCGAGATGAAATACTACATTTAATAAGGAATTATAAGCCGAATAAAATAAAAACATCTGCCCTGAAGATAACGATAGTGTTGACAGATCAACTTCCAGTTCATTGCGCGCCGCCAAGTTCCCCCTCCCCCCCGCGCAGAGCAGCCTGAAATTGATAAACAGATTTCCGAACGGTTAGATAAACAAAGGATATGCCTTTATCCATTTTTTGGAGCAATTCCACTTTTTGTTTGATGGACATCGAAACATACTTTCGTTTTCGTAGATCCTTTGGGAGCTCCAGCATCGGAAATTCTATTTGACATAATCGAAAGTTCAAGTTTACTTTTATAAAATTGCTCTTACAGTCAGCAAAAAATAATAAGCCGGATCCAATTCGAAGATTAAGGAACAACACAATCATCAACATTAACTGAAATAGACAATTAGATAATTTTAGCTTGTACCATCCGTTATAGATTAAACGCGCAGTGAAAACGTATTCTGCACTTGTGCACACGCAAATGCGCAGTCGTAAAGGTCTTACGCGCACGCTTAAACGCCTGTGCGCATGCGTCAACGCGGCGCATGCGCAGAAAGTTTTGAGCTTTGAGGTCCGGATTATAGATCATTCCGGATTATGGGTGTCCGAATTAACGACTTTTGACTGTATTCGATTCAATAAACGTATGTTAGCATATTTATATAAATATTGTAAGTTGCATTTATGTAAAGAATAATAAATTAATGTTACCATATAAAAATGTACAATGTAAAAAAGAACTACAGAACAAAAGTGCCACTATTTTGCTATATCGCATCTGTTTCTAAGATTCAAAATTTCGAAACAAAGGATAAAAACTTCCTCCAAAGTTAACATACTACACGAAAACCACAGACCAAATCTTAAACTCCGCTGACAGCCACATACTTTACCAGCAACCATTTCACTGCAAATCCACACAAAACTATCAGAAACGCCCTTCTTTGTCCGAGTTCTCATAGCAGCTCTGCATTTCGGACTCCATTTTAAAAGTCACACAGAAATTCCAAAAGTACTCTTCAGTTTCATAAACACACCCGTGAACAAAACGCTCGTTAACAACTCCAACATTGTAATTTTTAATACTAAATTTACATTCCACACGGTCTAAAATATGCGACTGAAATCTTGCCACCACGTCTATCATTGGAACATAGGCCATTTCAAAACATGCACAACATGACCAACGAACAATTAAATCACTCCAGCAAAAGATTTTTCGGTACTTTTTCGTTTCACCGGCGCAAATTTGGCCAAGCGGACTTGCGACAACATACGGTATACACATAAAACATGTTAAGATATGCTAGTTCTAAGAATTTTTTATTTTGAAGGCATAAACATTTTAATATGGTTTATAATTTTGTAAAAAGCGATAAATAAAGACAATAAATTTGTAAAAAGACATTAATTTAAGAATTTACTATGCTATCATGGTTCAACATCCTGATTCGCCAATTCGTACCGAGTGACCCCAAGTAATCTCACGTAAACTACACTACAAAAATATAATTCTCTCAGTAATTATCTACATTAATTTGAAGTTAAATCTTAATTTTGAATACAAGTTTAAATGCAAGAATTATTTCAATTCGTACAAATAGCTTACTGAGAAATTATGTAAAAACCGTAGTGCTTTACTTTGCTAGTGCATTCTCATTAGAATTGATGAATTTAACTCTTGATTTTGCCTTTTCTATATCAAATATATTCTATATCTAATGTTAGCCTGCGGGTGAGTGGTGTGATTGCATCATAATTGACTTAATTATCGCGAATGGTCTTAGGGCATAAAATTTAATTTTCTTCGTAAATATTCTGTATAATTGTATGCCAGTATTGAAAGAAACAATCAATCTGATAAGAAATGGCTGCGGCTTGTTTTGAAAATAAGGTGTAAAAGGTTACCAGCGAAGATATTCTGTTTGGCATCTGTTGTACCATTATTGGCGACTTTATCGTTTGCGGCGGCAAAACGGAAAGGTACCGATTTTTCAACATCAGCAGGGGTGCCATATGACACGCAATCATGCCAAAATCAGCTCAGAACACATATTGCCACATTTGGTGATATTACGGCGCATATAAGAGTACAGCCAAATATTTTATTTATTTTTTTTTTTTTTTTTTTTTTTGATAACAGAAAAAAAAAAATGTATAGTATCGTATAAAATAATGTATATAGTGCTTCACTTATATACAGCATATATTCTGCGCACTGCATTTGTAT